ATATGATTAACTGTAGGGTGATGTAGGTTAGTTAATGTTCGGCCGTGGGATACTTTAATGCGTTTGCTCGTTTTTTTTGCACATTCGTGAGTAGTGACTAATGATTTTAAATATTTGCGCACGTTTTTTTTTTTTTTTTTTTTTTTTTTTTAGGAACAAGTCAGAATATATACGCGGTTATTTTCCGTTGCTAACTCATCGTAAAGGTGTATTTTTAAGTTTGATTTCTGCGATGCCTGTGTGCGAGTATGTGCGTGTGTTTGTAAACATGTACGTTTTAATCGACATAATATACTGGTGCTCTACTGACCAACATTTTTCTCTGTGATATTATATAAATAAGTTACCTCAGCTAGTTGCAGTAAGTAAGTGAATAAACTTGTTAACCTACATTGCCGAGGGTATCGTTCATACATATACATAAAGATGTACCTTTATATGCGAATGCATATAAATATATACAATATATTTATATATACCTGTAAGGCATATACATATAAAAACAAAAAAAATTTTCGATTAGAAAGACTTGCTGAAAAATATTTGCGACGTGTAGCAGTTAACCTCTATTGATGTAAAAGTTTTATTCTATTGTATACTAACTAAGTAAATATTTCGCTGGACAAGCAAACAAGGGGTTAAACAGGTTTAACAAGTTTGGTTAGAAAAGCTTTCGCTTGAATACATTTTAATCGACTATGATATCAAATAATGTATAGTTGAACGTTTCATTGTTATTGAAAAAATTAATTTAAATCATTTAAGTAGAAATTATTCTTAATGAAATGCAAAAAAACAAAAAGTTAATTTAAGCATATAGCACATTATCGTGTCCTCTGGCCAATTCAATAATAAGTTATTAATGAAATTTTGTAAAACTGTAAAATATCTGCTCTCGTAATCGATATAATATAAACAATGCATATCGCACCAATAAATTAGAATTATTGCACGTATATTTAAAATTTTTACTTAAAAACGGAGACTGGTTCGATGATTTCGTACGTATTGATTAAACAATTTTGATGTTTAGATATTTGTAAAGTCATTGTTTATTATCGCTGAGGTAATAACCTCATATACAATATAATAAAATTCAAGTACAGCACAGTAGTTTTTGTTTAGCATCTTTGCTTTGCGCTTACATTCGCTGCGACAACAATCATTTCTGTTTTGTTAATTTTCCTAAAAATTTATTTTTAAACGCATTGTTATTAATGGGAGACTTGAGAAAATATATATAAGTACATATATATATATATATATTTATATGTTTGTTAAATTTCACATGTAATTTTTTAATACAACCAATTTTTCCTGTGTCTATCAGGCTATTGTCTCTTGCCGCTTTCCACCTTTGCGTCTGAAGTGGAATTTGTCCTCAGTCCGTCCGTTTATCGAATCGTTTTTTCATCACTCTATTCATTCATTTATTAGATTTTTTCACTTTTTCCTCGTCTACCTATCCTTTTGTGCATCTAATTTTTTTTTCCCTATGTATTCTTTTATGCTTCTCTTTTATGCTAATCTATTCTTTCATGTACTTGTTCTTGCTGCTATTTGACATATTACTTATCCATATCATCTATTTGTCTATACTTTCGTCTTCTTATATGTTTGGCTATGTATTCGAATCTGTTGGCTCGGTTCTATTTCTCGTTCCGTTGAGACACCTATCCATTTATCTATTATTTCTTTCAAAATTGTCGTTCATTTGTCGCTCCGCCCATCCTTCTTATCGACCGTCTCTGTTCGCTTTAGTTTGTTCTTTCATCCGTCTTTTCTTTCGTCCAGTTCTCCTATCGCGCATTTGTCTTTTCACCTATTAGAGGATTCGTTTATCTCCCCTTTCGTCCATTGGTCCTTCCATCCATCTGATCTTTCTTCCATCCAACGATCCTTTCATGCATTTATTTGTCCGTCCACATGTCTTCGTGAATGATCGTCCTTGATCTTTCCTTCCATGCGTTCTTTCGTTCAACGAACTCCTCCTGCGCCTACCAATTTTTAAGCCTTCCTTTTTGTGTTCAGGCATACTTACGTCCAACTATATTTTTCTCCGTCTAATCTTTAGCCCATCATCTTTTTCATCTATTGATGTTTTCATCTGTCCTCACGTCCATTTACCTTTCCTTCCATCTGTTTCCATCATTCGAGGATTCTTCTCGCCGTCTATCTGTCTTCCCGTCCATACATCTTTTTGATCATCTCTCTTTGCCTTCAGGCATTTTTCCGTCCATCCATCCTTTGACCTTTCACCTATATTTTTGTCCATCTTTTATTTCGTGCTATTCTCTTTTCATCCAATTGCTTCTCCATTTATTTACATCTCCGTTCATCTATCCTCTCATCCACCTGTCCCCATTCTTTGGGGTTTCATTTTTCTGTTTATCTATCCTCCCGTCCATTTATCTTTTTGATCGTTTCTCTTTGTGTTACCTTCTCTCTGCATTGCATAAAAAAGGTAATGCATTATACTGTTAATAAACAGTTTTCATTCAATGTTAGTTTGAATGGTGTCGGCTGAAATATCTGAGGCTTTTTCCATGTCTTCCTAGCATCAATGGAAAATTTTCAAATTGTAAAATGCAATTAACTCTAACATTAAAACATATGCACACATGTATACGTATAGACATACGAAACATTATGATGATTCATTCCTTCACCATCTCAAGTTCATTTTGGATTTACACCTTGTTATGTCAAAGTAAAATATTTGTTTGTTTTTTATAAAATTCATATAAATTTGTACATATGTAGCTTTTTTTTCGTATAAAATTTATATTGAGCAACAAGTATAAACTTTTTTTTCTTTGGTATTTTTCTACGGATATATGGCACGGATATGTAGAATGATTCAGAGAAATGCGCTTCTTTTTTTTTAGTGTTAAAAGCTTTCCCATCTCTAAATATATATTGACTTATTAGACGCTTTAAGATGAACAGTTGTCATCTTACGAAATTCGCGACTTCAAAATTGAGATATGGGAATATGTAGCTATTATTCGTTTTGTTTGCAATCATAGCTAAAATTTTAAAACAAAGCACTTACCTTCATCCTTCGCCGAACTTTGACGTTATCATATTTTTAGAAGTATATATTCAACTCTAAGAATTCTCCAAACCTTCCGTCAGCGATGGGTTGAAAAGGACCTACATTGTGATAGACGGTAATGCTTTAAATGCATTTCACCCATCAATACACGAATATAGCTACACTAGCGTCTTTAATTCTGGCGATTCCATGTCTTCTTGGCATAAGTATGTGCGAAATAAACTGTGTATGGCTATCCGAATTTTTCACAAAACGTTCAAAACGTTTTCTCTTAATTTCATAAATGAAAATAGAAAAGTTGAAGGTGAAACACTGTCTGCTGCTAGTTGCTGTAAGAACGAAGACAGAAATGTATTAAGACGAAATACTTCTTCCAAAAGCATTTTAGAGATAGAGGTATGCATGGGCTCGTTTCTGTACTCTGTAATACATTATCTATTTGATTGTTGGAAAAGTCCTTCAGCATTTTGTTAAGAAATTGTTGTACGTAATCTGTGAACCGTTTTAAAGTTAATGGTTACAGAATTGATTCGCAAAGCTATCATCGCAACAATTTCTTTATGCTAAGCTTTAGAAGCAGCCTTGACGGCGGCAGTGAAGGCAGTACAGTCAGTATAGGATCGTAAAGTTAAGTAATACGATTCAACGCGTGACGGTGAAAGGGTTAAACATACATCTGAATAGCTTAATAAGTTCATTGATGTCTTTAGCATAGAAAACCCAAAAGCCTTCATTCGTTTATGTCTATGTCCCTTTGTCGCGAGAATACGTGCATGTGTGCTCGTTCTCGTCTTTTCCCAAGCTATCTCGTCGTACTTACATCCACGACATCATGTCATTTTGTCGAATAGTAGAATAGAAACAGGATAGATGCACATGTAACTGTACGTCAAGATTTCCGCAGTTGTTCTATTAATCGTTTTGCGCGACGCCTAACTTTGCTTTTATGGGTGCGTCGATCAATATTGGCGTCCTTAACAAAACCGCTGCTTTTGCATAGGGATCTTGTCTAGAAGCTGATACCAGATCCATATCGATTTTCCTTTTCATTGTAAGCAGAGAGTTTGTGGAGGCCATTTGTTGTTGGCGATTGTAACGAGAGCTTTGAAATTGAGTCCTGATATCAGTATGCGTAGACATTTATGAACAAAGTTCATGCATGCCTGATGTACAGAGATTGTATTGAAAAAATGCATAAGAAATCAAAAACTTAATATATATCGCATTAATGGTTATACGTATAATAAAATATGATATTTAAATACCAAAATATACTTGTATACGCTATTTTTAACTGTTCTATCTATAATCTTTATGACTAAAATACGCTATATATAAGTACAGCTAAAAATGAAAAAAAAAAAAAAAAAAAATAGATATATATAAATATATGTATTTATTTATACGTATCGAGGTATGTACGTACATCTCCTCGCCTTTTAAATAATTTGCAAGGTCAAGGCTCTGTTATTTGTCGCCACATTATAATACAATGTCGTGCACGAATGTTGATGCATTCATTTATAAATACTTACTAACGTGCTTATATGCATATATATAAATACATATGTAAATACGTACATACAAACATACATACATACACATTAAAAGGTATATACATTCATACATTTAATACGTAAAAAGGTATATTGACATACCTGAGCTTTGACAGACATCGTCTGCGATTTTCAGTGTGTGCAAATTCACAACATGCACAGCTAAATTAAATTGAAAAACAAAATAAAAAAAAAATAGAAACATTAAAATAAAAAATTCAATTAGCGTTTATCGTTTTTGCTTTTTTTAAGAATCTAAAGCAATTACTTGTATTACTGTGTGTTGCTTCTATAGCATTTTGCGTTTACTTTTTTAATTTATATTTATTCATTTTTTATTTCGTTATTTTATTTAATTTTAAAATAAAAATTTTATTTTATTACAGCTTGCCAATGATAGATATACGAGCAGCATTGGTGACAGATACAGTTCATTATATTATCAGGTTGGCTTACACTATTTTGCAAAAAAAAAAAAAAAAAAGAAAAGAAAATACAAAAGTAAACTAAGTAAGAAAATAATTTTCGTTTAATGGCGAATTTGCAAATACCCATCATCTCAAGCAAATATGGGGAAAAAGGGTGCGTTCAACGATTCTGTGATAAATATTTACGGCCGGAAATTATTAGAAAGTATTGCTGATTCAAATGATTTCGAATTTTCGTTTGAACATTTTTTTTAGGCTTAGGCAGTTCTCAGCCTCTTTCCAAAACTAATAAAATATCTAGAAAGTTAAACCTTTCTATTCAAATGTATGCAAATGTTAAAAGTTCAACGACTACGAAACGAAACTGAATGACATAAGTACAGACAAGCAGACGTTGCTGTGACTGTTGTGTAATCTTCATGAATATATACACATATATTATTAAATATATATATATTATTAAATAAATATATTCATATGGGAATCTGCCTATTAAGTCATATGTAATGAATGATTTAATATACTTCTATTTTAGTATGAACATATAATCTCGGTGGTGGGTAATAAAATGGAAAATTGTTTGCATGCAGTTTAAGTAAATGCTTGCCTAAAAGTAACTATAATATATCATTATGCGTATGCGTCTAAACACTATTTGCTTGCATAATTTAGGGGCGTAAATCAATGTATGACTGTAAACTACTGTTAGGCACGTCTACAAAACAAGCGTTGCATTTATGCTTAAAATTCAAGTTTCAAGCATTTTTTTTTTTTGTTCATGGTAATATAAACTTATATCGGTTTACTAATTGGCTTAACAGTTACACTATAAATGGATTTTAACTGACGTTTAAATTTTAATTTTTAGCCATGAAGTTTGTTTTGGTTTCTTTGTTTGAAAATGGATTTTTTCTTTTTTTTTTTTTTGCGTTTAAGATGTGCTTATTTTCAATTGTTGTCACATGTTGGCCATTTGCCAGAAATATATTGATATTAAAGAAAAAAAAAAACAAAAAAAAAAACATTTCTCACTATTTGTCGTATTAAAAAGAATCAGATTCTCTAAATGCCAAATGTTTGATGCATCCGAACCATTCTCATTAACTTTATATTCGTTTGCCGTTAAACAAATTTTGTGTATATATCTCATTCTTGAGTTGATCTGAGCCAAAAATAGAGTAGTTGTTATACTACTTATGTATGCAATCATTGGTATGCATGTAAAATATAAGGAAAATCTGAATGTAATTCAATGTTTTGTTTCTTTGTTTGTTTGTTGTCTGTTATTTTTATATTTTGCTGAATCGTTGCTTTCAGGGTCAATCGCAAATGAAAGTGAAATTAATTTGTCTTCAATGCAAAATACCACAAAAATCATGAAGTGTTGTAAAATGTATCCGTCTGTCAGCTTTTTCAATAAGAATAGTTGAGCAGACGAACGTACATTACGCGCAGTCAAATTAAGTTCATGATACCGTGTGGAACCGTTAAGACCGCTTCACAGCCGGAAAAATTGCATTTTTCATTCCATGGATAGAAGATTATTTTTGACTAGATTCAGCAATATGTGGATCGAGTTTTATCTTACTAGAGTCAGTTTAACGTGTTTTTCTTTTAGATATGTGCGTGTACATGCGTATTGAATAGGTTGGCTTCGATTTCGCACGTTCACTCATTCTTTTATAATATGTGCAAGTTCAAGATATACTCCGTAGTGAGTTGATCTCTTCAACGACAGAATATCAATTTCAACTTACGAGGGTATACCGTTCTGCGATGGGACTTGGATCTAACCCTTCCACGCTTAAGATTCAAATCGTTTAACGCTTAATCGTTACGGGGATGAACTTGTCATCATTATCACTCACGTTATGACACACTCATTAAAAAACCTTAAACGGAATACGTAGGCATGCGCAGATAATTGCCATGTGAACAGTGATCGCTGTAGTTTATTTATTTAAGTCTCTATAATTGTGCATCTCGCTGCTTTCAATAATTTGGAATGGAATTAAGTGAATTGTGAAAGAGATGGATAGAGGAAGAGAGAGATAGAGAATAAGAGACGAGAAGAGAAAGAGAGAATGATGGATTGGTAACCGCAATGTTTATACAATTAAAAAGAATAAAAATAATTGTTGAAACGAGACTCGTCAAAGAAGGAAAACCCTTTTAAGCAGATGAAAACTGTTATCGAAACCATGTCATTAGGATACATCATTTTTTGTAGAGAATATCACAGTTTAGATAAAAATACAATTTCGAATAGTGAATATTGAAACTTCGCCAGAAGTCGAGTATAAGGTATTTTAAATTTTTGCGAATTATTCAATCGTTTTTAAACGTTTCGAAACGTTTGCCATTGGTCAATCTTCGCGGTTTTAGGTTATTCTTTTAGGAATTTCATAGAAATGTTTATCATTGTAATATCTTGCGGGAAGAGGCAGAGGATAACAAATGTCGAATGTCGATATCCATACGAGCGTTTTAAGCCGATAAAAAGCACTAAAGTCATTAAAATGTCTTGAAAATTACATCCTGTAAGTTAAACATGAGCTGACATATATTGTCACCGATAACACGAGTGGACAGATTCACTTAAATCGTCAAAGAAAGCGATTTTGAGCTAATTGGCATAAGAAAAACCGAGTATTTCTTCGTGTTGCAAATATTCGTACAAACTTAACATAACACATATGATGTAGGGTGTAAAAAGGTGAATTTAAATCATTGTCCTTTATATTATATTTTTAATATTTTTTATTCACTTATTAAACGACGTAGTTAGAGAGTGACGGTAAAAATTTATTTTATGTCTTTCATGATTATTACAAGTATTTTTATTCTCCTTCTATTAGGCATATTTATGCAGTTATTTTCGATCTACACTGTAATCGATACTTTGACTTCGAGTTGTTAAGTCCGCCTTTTGGAAGCGACGAAGAAAATCGGAATAAATCCGTAAATTTTATTTTCAAATATTGTATTAAATTAGTCTATAATTAAATTAAAATCAGAGGATATTTCGCAAATCTCTCTTTCGCCCTGGTTTTTTAATAATTTTTAATATTTTTATTCTCTTACTCGTGTGGCTTGTGGTGTGGAAAGAAAACATTTACTCAATTGAATTTAAAAAAATAACTAATTTAATTGAATTCTCTCAATTTAAAATTTTGCGTTGCGTTTCCTTCTTCTTGGATTCAAATGTAAAGAGAAACATTGGTAATTAATTAAAATTTCAAGTGCAAGGAGTAAATCATTGACAGTTGTCCCTCATTCCCTTTTAAAAGCCTTAATAAAAGATTTGTTCAATATGTATGCATTGACATTGCTTTGTTCGTATGTGCGATTGTGTGTGTGTGTGTGTATATATGTATGCGTATATGTGTATATGTGTATATGTGTATATGTGTATATGTGTATGATTTTGTATCTAAACGTAGTGGGCTCTCGTCTTTATGAATGCAACATTTAATTACATACGCTAAAGAAAGACGTTATGAACTTGCGGTATGAAAAACTTTCAATGACAATGCAGTGCTGAGTTTATTTATGAACATGTATAAGAGAAAATGGTCTTGTATTTTATCATTTTAGTCGCCCAGTCGTCTGGAATCATCATCAAGCGAACAGACCACAGGACGCCAGCTGCAGCGTGTCTTGCATTATTCAATGACACCCTGTCGGTCCTTGCAAGGACTGAGAAGGTCAGACTGTGTTCTACACGATGTTGACTGTGATGAAGTGTATCCCGGCATCTATATTGGTGATGCGTAAGTGTAGCATTAAATGGTGATTCTTGTAAAACCTGTTAATAAGTACTCCATTATGTGTATAGGGCGGCTGCCAAAAACAAAACATACCTGCGTATGATGGGCATTACTCATGTTCTAAATGCGGCAGAGGGTTGTCGTTACGGTCAAGTAGATACTGGTCATAGCTATTATCGAGATATGCCTAGCATAAGGTATGACCGACCATTTCGCTCCATTTCATTTCATTTCATTGCATATCATTGCCATACTTGTTGTTATCAGTTAACTATCGTTTTTTATTTATTTATTTTTTTGTTTTTTATATATAAAACTTAATTTTACACACAATTGGTGTCTTTTGCAATAATATCTTGAAATATTACGTCTTTGGGTTTTCACTCTACATAAACACATACATATGCACTGTGTTCGTTATCAACAAAAAAAAAAAAAAAAAAAACTTTTTTTTCTCTTTTTATTGGTTTTGAAAAATTCTTAACTCATTTTATATATGTTTTTAAAAAAATTTGAATGACATACTTACTTACACAAACTTTGCAATTCGTGCATCCCATCTTCACGCAATAATGAATATAATAAATGTATGATAATGTGTACAGAAGAAACAACAAAGACACTTATTTCAGATATATGGGCTTTCCAATGGTTGATGCTCCTACAACCGATATCTCACGATATTTCCACGTAGCGGCCAAATTCATCGATGACGCTATCAGCTGTGGAGGTAATAATATACGAAATTTTTCAACAATGGATATATATGAGACATTCCCTCTATTTCACTTAACAATGAAGTACTTGAAAGTTTCGACAAAGACGAGCGCGGGTTGAAATTTGATTTTCAAATATATATCAAAAAGATATCTACAAATCATATAATCATCATTCTTTTCTTAAATAACAATTTTTAAAATGAGTTGATCCAGCCTCTACTTAATCAACTCTATCAGATTTAGATAGTGCTGTAAAACTGTTATCAAAGTATTCGAAATGGGCAACTGTGTACTTATTTTGAGTAATAAATGTTAGCTTGTCTAGAAGGGTTCAATTTTCACTTCAAGAAAGACACATTATTCGTGTGTCAAAGGATTGGATCAAAAACCGCGTGGCGACGGCCAAACGTCTTCACTGGGAATAATGTCGTAAATACGGTTTATTCATTTTCGTTTGAGAAATTTCTTGATTCCAATTGCTGCGTACAAAACACCCTACTAATTACATAAAATTGATATGACGAAGACGTTGTCCCGACATTTTCAAGAAACTAAATATTTGTTAAATAAAAAAAAAATGCATTCATTTATTTTAGAAAAATGCTGAGCATAACAGGTTGGCGGGAAAGTTCTGTCACATTTTAAGTAAAACATTCGAATTTGAAGATGTTTGATGTGCTAAAATAAACAGCATGAAACAAATGAAATGAAATTAAAACAATTTTTTGTCTGTAAGTGTTCCCACGATAATTAGGCAAACGGACATATGGATAAGCGGAAGGATGAATAAACGAATTAGTTGTATCTCACTTAGCTCTTTATTCAGAACTCTCTTTCAATGTATATGCGAAATAGTAGATGTTTGTATGCTTTCATTCTACTATGAAAAATAGTACGCTGTGTTATATATATATATATATATATATATATACATACATATATTTGATGATTGATTAACTGTGATGGGTTTTTCTAAATGTTCGTCAGTTATTTTTCAAAGTGTTCATTAATTGTAATAGAAAATAATATGATTGCGGAATGGAGTGAAAGTTACTGTTAGTTATGAATTTGTTTGATTTGGTTGCAATTAACGGGATTCCTCTTATGTTGAAGGTAAAATTCTCGTCCACTGTTTGGTTGGTATGTCAAGATCGGCTACATGTGTTTTGGCCTATTTGATGATCTGTCGTAAGATGTCGGCTGTGGATGCGATACGTAAAGTGCGCTTGCGTCGCGATATACGTCCCAACGATGGTTTCTTACAGCAATTGGCCGATTTGGATATGGAACTTAAACGTAAAAACCTATATCCTTACTAATATAAAGCGATACCAAAGTATATGTACATAAATAAGAACATATATACAAGCAAACACACACATACATACATATATATACACACATAGACACTAACCATTGCATAAGTTAAAATAATTTCTTAACAAAAATATATATCAACATGTATACATGCTGAAAATGAACCAAGAATCGTTTCTTTAATAAATTATAGTACTAAAAAATACTTATAACAAATATTTAAATTTTTTCTGTTGATATTTTTTTAAAACACACATCACACTCACAGATCTCAGTTTCTAAACGAGAGAAAAAAATTGTTTAGTGGTTTGTAAAATAAAAAAAAAAAAAAAAACAAAACAAAAATAAAAAAAGATAAAATTAAAAGATATAAAAATCATGTGTAATAAAGTCTCTGATGATATGTTCTTAAAAGTTTTTTAAACAGACTCGTTCACGTACATGGGCATTTATGTATGTGTAGTTAATTTCTTAACTAAGCTAATCGTAATAAGCAAACGATTCGGACGAAGATGATGCATAATAATCAAGTTAGAGTAGCGTTTAGACGACTGTGTTATATGCTAATGTTTGTATGTTTGGCGACTGCATTGTCTACGTAAATGTGATTGCTATATATATATATATATATATATATACACCTAAACACTCGCGCACATAATCAAACAAAAACACAGCCAAACACAGGCAAAGCCATAAACACATACACACACACACACATATATATATATATATATATATATATATATATATACACACACACACATCCGTACACATCCATACACAAGCACACATTCACGTGAAGTCATTAATGGATGAAATAATACATAACTAGTGATCAAAGCCTTATAAAAATGTATATTAAACGAAAGTTAAAAAAAAAAAAAATTCCAAAAATATAAGATAAAAAAAAAAAAAAGAACTACATATATACATACATATAAAAAGAAATCTATATACTCAAAATTAACTATTCACAATCAATGTTGCAAAACGTAACGAAACATGCTCACATGCCGACAGCTATATATGTATACATGTAGCGTTAAGAATATGTACCAGAATGCAATAAGTATGAGACAAATAATAAAAAGAAACTAAAACGAAACAAACGAAAAACAATTCATCAAAATATTGTAACAAGAAAAAAAAGAAAATGTTTCATATTAACTGAAAATAATAAATAAAAATGAGCAAAAAAATAAATAAATGAATATATATACATAATAAATAAATACACATATATATGTATATGCATATATGAATATACATGGATACGATGCATACATGCATATATATGTAAAGAACCAAATACACAAGTAAACTGAAAATATTCACATAGAGAGTTTTACTTGATAATTCGAAAATCTTTATTAAATCGTAAGTTTCTATTGGACATTTTATAACGCAAGCACACACTCATTGCAGTCTAATTTTTTGTGCCATGATTCTAAAAATTGTTGTAATTTGATACGCTATTGAAATGTAAATATTTATATCTACACTGTCCCGTACACTGTCCTGTTCGGTGTTGTCGTTATGTTTCATTACTGAACAAATTAAAATTTATTATAGTCCAGTTAGGGCGACTATTAACGACTGAAAATAGGATAAAGCATGGGCATGGACATGAAAATTGATTACATTGAAAGCAAACGATAATGCACAGATAGGAACTTTCAGGCAAAGCAGGCATAAGTAATATTAACAACTAGTAAAAGTAGTAAAACTCCTTAAGAGGCAACGTCCGTATTAGAAAATGTTATGGTTTCGGAAGTATCGAAACAAATAAAATAAAATAAAAAGAAAAAAAAGTTAAAGCAAGAAATGAAGGCAATTCAGAAGTTATTCTTGAACTTTTGTTACTGCATTGTATTGCCCTGAAGCGTGGCGGATTTAAGCGGATTATGAAAAGGAGGAAAATTCCAAATGACAAATATAAAAATAAATCCGCAGAAAGGATTCTGGAATAGACATATATATTTTTATGAAACGAATAAAACGAGACAGTCATATATATTGGTGTTGTTGCACTTTTTATCTTAAAGTAAATCTTAAATTTACTGCTAAATCATCGTTGCATATAATGCTGGGATTTGTGAACCACAAGCTCTGCTATCCATAGCTGGAAAAGTACAATTTGCAACGCAAACCTTTAATCATGTCATATAAAAACGATTACGTATGAGAAGGGGATGCGGTTAATTTATCATTACTTTGTAATCAAAAATATCTGAGACGACAACTTTGCTACTTCGTTACTTGTTAACATATTTCTATATAAATATATTACTAAGCACTGAAACTTAGGAAGGCTAAGATACAGATGATCTGGAAGAACGATCAACATATGTAAGAATGTATCGAAGTTCTTGTGACCATGATGAGATAACGGACCAACAACATTCCTATGAGTATTCTCGAATTTGTCTCGCGGTATCGAAATCACTATGACTGTCAGTTTGGTATTCCGATGACTCATGTTCATTTGCTGAGTGCCTTACTCGTATTTTGTTAAAAATATCTTTAACAAACGTGACGTTCCAATGATCACGCTTCTAAAATGACTGAATGCTATTTTCGTTATATATTTCGCATAAGATTTTCCAGCTTATATATTCTTGAGCAATAATGTTTTGATGTTTCACAACTTATCTCAAGATTTCTAAAGCGCGGGAGATTTTCGCTTTTAGTGACTTGAGCTATATAATCTAATATAAATGTCTAGTTTGTCTTGAGTTATTCTCTGTCTCGCAGTGAAAATGATCATATTTCGTTCTTCCCAAATATTAGGGGAATCGAAAAGTATATAAAACTAGATGATCTCATCCTGAAGGCGATCAGTTTACAATTCGGGATCGTCTTTGTCGCAAAGGAAAATTGAGCAGGTAAAAAATTTGGATTTCTCATGACTTCACGGAGGCGGCCCTTGATCAATGGCGTACCATCTGCGCGTCTCTCCTGTGTCGGTATGAAGCCGATCATTTTCTGCGACGTATTGTAACTCGACATGAGAAGTGGGTGCTACAAAATAATCTTGAACGAAGAAGACAATGGCTTTCTTTCGGAGAAGCAACAGTCCCGCCATTACTGATAAAAAAGGTTCTTTCTTGTGTGTGGTGGGATTTTTCTGGAATCATACACTGTGAATTACTTGAACCTGATGGGACCGTTACAGGAACAGTGGATTTGCGAACAACTCGAACGAATGAAGCAATAACTCCTAAAAAATGTCCTTCTCAATAAAAAAACGAGCGTCCGTTAAGAGGTTAAGAATTTAACAATTTTAGCGAAGTGAACACGCACTTGGAAATGTTTTTCGATGAAAAGGGAATTGAACAACTAACTTTACGCTGTCAAAAGGTGTTTGAGAATGATGCAAATTGTTTTCTTGACTAGCTATTTAAGATTTCTTTAAATAAAATAAATATTTTTCGCTGGCAAAATAAAATTTTGATTGTTTTTAAGGTCCCGTAGCATGTTTAAAAGACTTAATGCTTAGATAGATAGCTAGGAGTTTTGGAGGCAGAAAATTTCTTTGAAAAACCAACTAGACTGTCATGGAATGTTGAATACCGATTGTTCCATTTGAAGAATCAACCATTAAAAATAATTTCGCTTGACTATTAATATGATTTGATGAAACCGTTACCAAGTTGCAACTTATTTTCATATGCTAAAACTGAATTGAGGCATTACGATCCCAAACTAAGTGCGTCGCATCTGTAAGCTCTGCTGAATGGGAGACATTTCTGTGGCAAGAGTGATTCATTCCAAGATATTTTTAAGCTTGTTGCAATGGAATGGAAAGGTTCAATGCTTTCCTTGCACATAATGTGCACAAAAATGATTCCCAGGCCTTCAAGTATTTCGTCGGTGCGTTAGCCTTTAGAATGTTTGTGCCGAATTTCATAATCTGAACGGCACATTTATAAATTCGAGAGTGTAGTAAATGTGATGATTGTCGTTGTTTCTTAAATATTTTCCTCCCATCTACCGTAAGACTTATCGAGATAACTATAGATTTTTAAAAGACGTTGGTTTTTCCTTTTAGGAAAGAGCGAATTGCTGCAAATACCAATATTCTTTCCCGATGGCATGCTTATCGACGGTATATTTGCCATCTGGCGACTCTTCAGAATGCTAAAGTAGGCAAAAATCATTTGCCGCTGATCTTGAGAATGGCACAGAGATTGTTTAGATCGATTCTTTTCGTCTGGATAAATTGTGTAAAGTGGTCGATTTCGACAAATTGGTCCCAACACTCTGCGCATTATATAACACCAAAATTTGTGGTTGCAGGGGCAACTAATGGAAGCGCCAGACTTATAATAAACGTTAATTCTGTTTCTGTTTTTTAACAATTCCATGTTTTTATCCGTGCCAAAATTTTCTTTTCTACCGATTTTCGCCGACAGTTTATTAAAAATTCTAATTTGTTTAAATGTGAATGGGGTTCACTCGTGGGCGAATGTAGATTAGGGAACCAAATTTCTTCAATATATCTCAACATATATCTGCGGTGCGTAGGCTGAACTTAAGAAAATGGCAGTTGAATGGACAGACAAACTTGTATCGATTTAAAAAGTGATTCCGAATCAATCAGTAATTGTTGCTAAGAGGTTTGCATTAACTACTTCTGGTTGTTACGTACATCGGCACAAATTTAATATTGAATACATGACAAGTGCTAAAAAGGCGAGAAGTACTGTAAACTCTATATCATCGTAACGTAAATGTCTAAGAAATCGCAATTCATACGTGAGTAATATAAATGTGTTCCTACTACAGAAATGCAAACGTGAGAAAAAGCCTACATTTAGCTAAAATGAACAATCGGTTTCGATGTTTAGATGAACTTGCCTGCCTAACATCCATAAGTTTGTATAACAAATCAACAATTTGCGGATTTATTCTTACAGCAGTTTGAAAGTTTTCATGGTCCGGGCAGATGTGTTCGTTAATTCGTTTAAGCATTTCTTTTGCTTTGTTCATCATCTGCCATTGTTGCACTATTCACAAAGCCATACCGTTTAAATTATTTATATTGATTCTTTACTGAACAAATCGATGAAAAAGTTTATTTAAGCAAATATATATATATATCAAAGGAATATAATGAACTAAGCTTCGTGTTGCAGGATGAGCGGTATGTCAATTTTATCAAAACACTTGCAACGTCCAGAAGGTAACTTCAGAGACACCACAAAGTATATATATTCTTGATTAGAATCAAATTCTGAATTGATTGAAGCATGTCCGTCTGCTCGTTTTTCCACGTGCGCAACTGTGTATGAGGATATCGTCTACAAATTTGCAAAAGAATGCGAAAATGAAACAAACCAGTTAAAGGACACGCTTACAACGCGTACATATACACGCAACAGTAACTGGGAGCACCTTTGCTTTTCATGCTTTTTTCTTGTTCCTCGTAGCGCACAGTAAATATAAATTTCACTTTTATTTTGAAAAAGGAAAAAATCAACCGCGCCAGCTCAATACTGTAGGATATAACAATGTAGTTGTTTTACTTCTTCTTAGGAACACGGTGATGAGTGCAAAAGATTCGGTCACGACCGAATATAATTTTCTTATTTGTTTTTTTTTTCAAATTGGTATATTATATTGGA